CTTAGAGTTTCCAACACTACTCTTACAAAAGTTCTTAAATAAACCCAGTCATCAAAGAAGGAGGCCTGAATTGCCCAGAATCTTACCTGGTTCCAAAGTTTTTAGCTCTATTTCCTCTAAGAATTCCAGCGTAGCCTTCTCTGGCTTGGACAAAAACAAGTCAGTGTTAGCAAGGACGATGCCAGTTACAGCTGCACCGAGAGCTCCAAGGCCAACAGACCACATGCCCATAGTGAAGAGCCCGATGTCAGACAGGAAGGACATTTCTGGAAAGTAAAAGAAAAAAGCAGCTCTAACTACTGAGCACAGATGGAGGCAGGCAAGGAGGATCCGGCTTAAACCCACACAGTAAATGGACCTTGTTGGGTTCCCTGGAGATGTTCTGTGAACCTCTGCTCTGAACTTGGGGCTCAGAAAAAGATGTCGATGACATTTCAGTTCTGATCCTGAACTACATCAGGATATTACAAGAGATCTGCTACTGCACTGATAAAAACTTTCATGACTTAAGTTTTCAACTACAATGGGGAGGAAGGGGATAAAAGTTTATGTATTAATATACAACCCATAACAAGATGACCTCCTTGATAGACAGTGAATTATTAAATTCTTATTTACTTAAATTATTTTATTACTAAATTAAAATTATTACATTAGAATTATTAAATTAAAATCATTACAGTATGACAGTGGTTTCTTTAAAAATGTATTTGTAGTATAAAAGAGTTTTTTTCTTATTTAAAGTACACAGTGAATTTTACAAGTATATTGCAGAAGACTTTAAAAAAACTCATATACACACACTCAGATTTTGGCTTCTCCCTCTCGTCTATATTTATGCACAAACATATTAGTGTAACAGGCAATATTTTTTCTTACAACTCCACATTATAAACAGACATGGAGCCAACATCTGAGCAGCATCCATCTCTGCAGGCAGAAATAATATAGGCTTTTCACTGTTTTATTAGGCACGGTGAGCCAACATTACAGACATCCTGGACAGCAACTTCTAAAAAATGGTCGTTTTCTACTTTTACTAAAGCAGTTTTTGCACAAATCACATCAGGAAGAAACCACTAACTCATACCCAGGACTTGATAACAAATAACAAGCAACATTGCAATGGAAGCTATTACATGTGCCAGCTCATATCACTTGTTTGTACCCCAATTCTGGTAGCAGTTTCATTACTCACTAGCCACCCTACCCCAGGAAAGCTCCCGAAGCCCTGTCTTGACCCTTGTGTATGTTTCACAAGCCTGGAGAGGGCTGACAGCCACATTCCTGTGAGGTGGTATCACTTCTGAGGATGCAGGAAAGCAAGCTTAGCCCTGCATCATGGACAAATTTCAAGATCCAACTGTAACCAATATTTGCTACAAGAGTCACCATGGTTTGGGCAGTAAAAAACAAGTCACTGTGCATTTACAGCACAACAGTTATGTGTTACAAAGGGTTATGGATTTGCGAAGTGACTCCACTTTCAGATTAGGCAACATCAAGAGTTGATTTTTTTCCAGAGCCATCTGCAAAATTCTGCTCCTTAATGTGCTGCTTTGGCAGGTATTGCCATCCATGTGTACTTCTGTTCAGGAGAGAATCTTTCCATATATATAGGAAAAATGTAACTTCTTTGAAGTATGCCTGGCAGCAAACCTTGGACACCCCCACTCTTTATCCCCACAAACAGCTGCAGGTAGAAAGAAATGAAAAAAACAGTTAGAACTCCTAGATTTGTGCCAGAGCCACACTGCTTCAAATTTTCAGGAAAGAAACCCCTTTCCACTTCCATGTTCAAAAGTAGCTCCCGAATAACACTGATGAACAAATGCAACCAACTACCATCTGAAAAAAATAGACAAACAAAAATTCTGTTTTATTCTTCTAGCACCATATTTAGTTCCAAGGGAGACACAGTATCTTGGCTATCTGGAAACACGCATAAGCCAAGAACTTGAGCAGGAAACATGCGTAATAATAACTGCAGATAACAGAACAGTCTACCCCGTTTCTCTGCTTGTTTCTAACACAGGGAAATTCCTTGTCATTATCTGCTTTCTCTACACACTTCCTAAGCACAACATCATATTGCAATGACAATTTTTTGATACCTGCTTCTGATTCGTACCAGAGACCATCCTGACACCAGCCTTTGTAATGACCAAGACGTAACTCAAAATTTATTGCTGTAATGCAGCGTTAACACTTAAAATCTCCCCGGCATACCTGCGGGCTATTGCCCTGTTCCCTCCCAGCCCTTCCAGCTATTATGCAGCTATTCTTTGGGCTTGACTCTTGTCTGGTCCAGACCTGTTTTTCTCCTAAATCTTAGTTGCAGAGGGGAAAGGGTGGCGGGGGAGAAGAGCCAGGGGAGGAAACCAAGTACTAATCCTTTGCATAGTTCTGTGCACTTAAGAGTGTCTACCAAATTTTTTGACTGATTAATGAGCAAGTTCTCACACAGCTCTTACTACTATTATTGGCACTGCTGTAGGCCAGCGTCACTGTGGTATTTCACACCGCACTCCATTTTAGTGTTGATAGAGATCACTAAACTCAGTCAGCAGGACTCTTCAGTTTAATTGAATTCTTTGGTTTCCGCTCAGTGACAGACACTGGCTCCAAAGGGTGAGCCTGCTCAGCTACTGAACGCGCGGGGGCATTAAAAAAAGGCAGTTCTGAACGAAGGTACTGAAATTCCCCCCGCTAAGCAAATGCCATATGAGAGGCCGCTCTGAATGATCCATGTGGGAAACAACAGCCAGGATTATTCAAACAGTCACTCGTAAGGCAGGCTGAGCCCTGGCACTGCTGGTTCGTTGAAATGCAAGTGAAGAGACAATACAGAATCCAGCAGAGCATTTGCAACTAGCAGCTTCATCTCCTTTTAGGGGCAGTTAATTAAAGCAATCTGAAGCTCCAAAAACAAACTCTACGAAAATACGAACACTGCTGGCTTTTCATCAGCACCTCAGTTTCTAAACAGCCAGTGATACATCCCAGAGGAAAGACAGGACCCAGCATCCCGCAGGCACCCTCCGCTTGGGTCAGCGCACTCACCTGCACCCATGCAGCCCGCGGCCGAGTGCGGCC